TTTAACCTTTGAGTAAAGGCATTTTATTATGAGTTTGAATAAATAAAAATGCGTTTACAAGCAAAAGTTATTTTGTTTTAATCGATCAATTAATAAATTTGCGACACGTATTGGTGACGTCCTTCGATGCATTAGTTTAATCATGTTGTCTTGTAGCATTGCGTATTATTCATGGATCTCACTTCTATGTAGCAGTTATAGTAAGTTATCTATATATCACTACTAAGACGTTTTTAAAATATTTACTACCACATTTGCTGTTAAAACCAGGCTCAGTTATTGCTACTGATAACCACTTTAACTGTTTTTAGAACTTGACGTTCCACTTTTCTAGGATAAGGATAGGTGGCCAAGTAATCGATATCAGTTCTCGTTATGAACACATCAAAAATGTCTCTGATATTGCATATTCATAGAGTCCCAGTAATTCACGGTTCAGTCTGAAAAAAAAGAAACTCCGGATGTTAATCATCTGACCTTAGTTTTTAGAATTTCTGAAATTGTCTTCCTAAATGATAAGTCATAAATAACAGTTAGAGGTTCGATATAAGTGCATAGGTCGTCTTCCAGTAAACTATTTGATGACTTAAACGATGAGCCACTTCTTAACATGATAAGATATCAATGTGGGTTGAAACGTCTCAGTCTGTACTCATACGGTAGGTCGAAAAGACAACTATCATGGTCTGTCCCCATTAAACCCGTTCTAATATATCGGCTCTTTATTCGGAAGGTGCTTATCGCTTAAGTTCCATTTTCTATATTGCAACCTCTATTGTGTCCAAATTCATGTTTCAAACATTCCTTCCTAATTTCAAAACGCCTCATGAATAGCTCACAAAATTCGAAACCTTTTACCTGCAGCTGCTTTACAATTACTCATAGTTATGGTATCATTGCCTACAGTAATTTAGTTACTATAATTCGTAGCCTTATTTAATGGTATTCCATCTATTAGGTAGTGACGTGAACCGTCGCGATGGTCGACATTCGTTGCTACACATCCGTTCAAGTCCGCTTTCAACTACCACTGACTTACTCACCTAACTGGTTCATTCAAACCTCCCTGTTATCTCAGCTTATCGTCCTCAATTTTTATGCGTTTTGAAATGTTTATGCTGTGTGTAAGAAATAAAACCGATGACTTCCCTATTTTGGCTAGGTCATTTACGTATAGTAAAGAAGAAAAGGTCCCTAGAATTGTATTTTGTGGTGCTTCACAGACTTCCATGAAGGTATATCATCCTTCTTACTACTACTAATTTATGGCAGTGAAACATGGCCAGTAAGAGTAGAGGATATTCGTAGTATTTGATCATAGGTGTCTTCGAAATATTGCTCGTATATGCTAGGACCATCGAGTAATTAACGCAGTTGTTAGGAAACGTGTACTAGGTAAGGATGGCAAATCAATTGATGAAGTAATGAAAATTCATCATTTGAGATGGCTGGAACACGTGCTACGTATGTTCAATCACCGACTGCCTCGACGTGCGGTGTTTTATGGTGTAGGAGTAGGTTGGAAAGAAGCTAGGGGCGGCCAGACCAAAACATGGCACAAGTCCATGAAATCACTGACAAATGTACTGAGCCATGTTGGTAGGTGTAGACTACCTGATTGGGAACCGCGAGATAATAGCAACCGGTGGTCAGAAACCCTGAATGATATGGCTTAAAATCGTTTGCAATGGCGCTGGTGCATCCACTCTGTGTTCTCCCAAATTCTAATCTGAATTTTTCATGTCCTTTTTTCCTTCTTTCCAAATTTATTTCACTGAATTATACTCCTTGAATAAGAAAGTAAGGGGCAGCCAAACCAAAACGTAGCATCAGTGCTTTAAGTCACTAGCTTCTAGTCTGAGCGATGTTGGTAGATGCAGACTACTTGGTTGGAGTCCGCGTGACTATCGTAACTAATGGTTGGAGACTCTTGGTGACATGGCTCAGAATCGATCACAATGGCGTCGGTTTATACACTTTCTTTCTACTAACTAATTCTTTCTTCCTATGCTATATCCTTATTGCAATCTTTCTCCTATATATTACCACCTTTGACCTAACCACTCCTATGAATCCGGTGTTCATCTTGCTGTGCTAATAAGGTATGGCAACCTGGACCGATGCACATATGTACCTGGTCCTACGTTGTAGCTGACTGACTCCTTGAATAACATCTTCAAGCCCTAGTTTTTCCGATTACTGCTTATACTCTTACCACCTCTACCACTATGAGATTTGAATCGACAACTGAATCTCTGTGATGATGTAGTGTGGCAACTCGAACTGGTGTACGTACGTACGAAGTCCTACATTGTTACTGACTGATATCACCTTTCACTCGCAATTTACTTATCATTGAGACAGTAACTAATCTCATATCTAACTGTACAACCGATACTACTGGGGCTCTCCAGCTTCACTCTAATACTCGTAAAACAGAACTTGTCCGAAGCTTTACTAAGATTTATAAAGACTACATTCACTATGATTTTTTCCAATGCAGTCTAGTCTCTTGCAGTGAGATTAGTCAAATGTAAGTAAAGAAAAACTTGTCAACTTCTCAGAACTGATTACAGAGACCTTATCTTTGATATGTTATGGTATTTGTTCAGAATTCGTTGAAGACCAGCAAGTTTATTCATTGATGAAAATACCACTATCCTTTTTAAATAGTCCACCTTCTACAACGCAAAAAAGTCGAAAATACATGTCCACACAAAATTGTGTAACACAGTTGGGAAACTATAGAATTGTCCGACCCGAATGTGACGCAGATGTTCGTTATCTTTCTTGCCAATTAGCTTCTACAAAAGAGCAGCGATTCATAGATGTACCCAGTCTGGTTTTTAGAGACGTCTTAGTACTAACAGAAAACCTAGTTTGTTCGCTGGCGTTATCAAGTGTTACCATGCTCGATGCGTTTCCAGATTGAATGTATCACAACATCAAACCAACCTGAAGAACGTCAAGTTGATCTCACCAGTATAAATGTTTAAGTACTAGGGAAGGTTGTTTGTGTTACTATCGTATGCCATATTAACGTATTCAAAGAAAGATCAAGCTGATGAAAGCAATATTAGGGTAAACAGCTTTCTTAGTGGTCATTTCTATCAGAAGCGATTGTTAAGTATTATAGCTCTACCATCATATTTCAAACCTAATTTCCAGAATAGAGTTCAGACAGCGAATTCGTGTATACTTCCAAATAATAAAAACAAGTGATAACTGACCCACCTCATCTTTAAAGGTTGGTTGCTTATTCAAGTCACCTTCAGCCACTTTAACGTAATATTTTGCACCTAGTCTGCACATCGACTCTCTATGTTCAGTTAACCTGTGGTATGAACATCCTTGGAACATTTAAAAGGTTATTACTTTTGAGACTAGTGCAGAATGTTTACCACATGATATATCTATCTGGTCATGATCAAAGCAATATTTATAATTTATACGTCTTGTTCGGATCTCTGACTTGATTTATTAACTTTCTACTTTCAAGTACTTAATTCTTTTGCTGAGGACGCAACTATTTTGTCTGAAGAAGACTCCGCGCTCTTACCTTCTGTAACAAATGAAGACGATAGATTCAAGGGATCCCCAGCTGTTGGTGTATTGGTAGCCTTTACTAAACCTCCATATGGTCTTTACTCTGGACGTCGTGAAATAAATTTGCCCGTCGGAAAAATCTCATCCTTTGTGGCTTCCTTGGCTAATACCAACCCGACAAACGGTGAACAATTCAAACTAGATTTTATAGAAGGAGCACTTCACTATCCTATGTACTATGACTATCACATTCAGAACTTTACCAAGCAACGCCTCCATGAGACACTAGAGCCTGGTCAAGAGGTTTGTTTGGTTCCGTTTACCAAATAATTTTTAGACTTCTCTTTATTACAGATTCAAACCCGCTCCTGAATTAGCTGGTCGATCTTTTGACCTGTCTATTGTTGTCTACTATCATGACAATAATGACATTTATTATGCTCATAAGTTATTTAATCAAACTGTTAACGTAAGTTATTTATACTTTGTAATCGTTCCCTACAGTTGTTTGAAATCGAAGAAGGTGTAGACACTGAATTAATTTTCTTGGTTATCTTAGTAATTGCCTTGAGTATAGCAATTCTAATTGGTATCTGGCACTGGTTCACCTCAATCGCTCAAAAACGACAACCAGCTAAAAAGTCTTCAAAAGTGGTCGAAAATGATGGTGAAAATGCAGTCGAGAACGAATACCTGGCACTAATAAAAAACAAGCCTCAAATTAAAAAAGGTAGTTTATTGTTTGGAAAAGTTGAATCATCTTTTATGCTATAACTAATTCAAACAAGAGCATGTTGCATTAATTTAGAGTTGGCTGCCTTAAATATTATCGCTTTCAGAAACCCCATGCTTGTCTAAGATCAATGCGTAATGTAATCTGCGAAGATTCAACAATCTCCACAAGCTTCTTATGTTAATCTACTATTACTTTTTTTATATAGATCGTTCTGACCAAATAATTCGTCGGCACCAGGGTAGACGCTAAGTAACCGAAGATAGTATACACTTTAGCTCAACTGCTTTCAACTTTCTCACTCGTGTACACATGTCATCTGTAAAAATCTGCATACAGTCTCTTTATTTTAAAACTGCGTTCAAAATAACCACTTTCTATCTTTCTGTACTGTTTGATCAGTTTTTAGTTGTTTCTGCTAATAAAACCCTATCTGGTCAAATATTTACTGTTCTAGCAATTCGTAAGTGATCTTGGAAATAAGTTCAACTCGTTATGCTTTTTCAAGTAATAAACTCATATTAACCAATTGCACTCAAATGGTATGATTTAGTGGTAGTTACATATTTTTGGCTATCTTGTGTAAGTTCAACCCAATGTTAAAGTCACATATTTTTCAGCTACTTGTACGAATATTTCTAGACCTAGTGACACTTCAGGTCCTGGATGTCTTGCAAAGTAGTCGGTTGCGATCCTTGACATCTACATACATATTAAGCACTTTAAGACAATGCACAAATGAGTTTATGTAACCAGTAACTTGGATTGAAATGATTTACTGATATGTTGGACAATATTTAAAGGAAAAGCAGCATTATGTGTTTAATACTAAATAAAAAAATAGTGTCACTGGTCTTTCTCAGTGTTTTTATTCGACACACGCAGGGTCCGAGTAAAAAACTTCGGCATTCCTGGCCGAAATTTTGATGCGAAAGATCGAAGAATAGTTAAAGGATACCAGAGGATCCAAACAATGACCTGTAAAAAGAAAAGTTTTTCCACCTTTCACAATTATCCGAAGGTTTTTAAATTCGGTACAAATCATTTATAAGATAAATTTAGCTGAATCTTCTTTATGTAGAAATTGTAAGACAAGTTACGTTGCTTGTGACTGTTGCATCTTAAAATTTTAGTCTCAGTGGCATCCTTGAACAGTAAAAGAACAATGATGTCAGTCTCCGAAAACGTAGAATAGTTACTGTAGTTTTAATTAGAATCAATATGGCCTCAAAAGTGTACTACATATTACTTAGTTGCTTATGTTCTCTCAACAACAAACTATGATAAGCCTCCATTTTGAATCATAAGCTTATTTTAAAAAGGTTAGGGGAACTTTGTGATGAATATTTGTAGCTCAGGAGGACTTTGCATTTGTGTTTCAAGCTAGGTAATTTCGTCGTGGAGTTTCGTGTCTTTTCAGACAGCATCGTTAAGACGTACTTTAGGAAAACGGTGCTGCTAGAATCTCTTCACAACCGACCACTGAGAATGTGCTATGAATAGGAATGTCCAAACTAATACTCAGAGATCATTATTGGATCTTACAAAGGATTTGTCACTTTTAAAGTTACGACTCGATGAAGATCACGATCATAATTATGTGCGGTGAACAAGTGTGCACAACTAAACATTACTGTTCAAAAAGTCATAAGTGAGGGTGTATTATTAATTAGCATAGGTGTTATATAGATGCAATGGTTTAGTGTTGAAAGCACCTTTAACTAACAGATTTTGCATGTTTCGTTGGTTGGGTAGTATTACTAGACCTCATACAAGCGCCTTTCAAAGTCACATACATAAAGCTGCAATTAGTCAATTACGTGACATTATTTTTCGAACACAAATATTGGTGCAAGGGCGCACCGAATACATATGTGCTACACAAGTCACTTGATTTGTGTGTGGGCCACGATACTGTCCGGGTGCCCAAACCGGAGCAAGTGGTTTTCTTAGGGGGCCACATCCAGAGACTTCGTCTTAAAAATCTGGTCCACAAGGCAATGGAGCAACGTCATTAGATTGAGTCACATAGTAGCCGGTGATCAACAATTGGTTCATACGGCATTTTTCTCCTCAGGATACTGGAGCCCGTATGCACCACTGATTCTCGATCAAAGTTTTCGAACTTCACTAGGTGAACTTTCCGTGTCCACCAACCCAGGTTATGCGCTGGACATTCGCTTTTCGGTGCCGCGAGAATGTAGTGAGTAGGACTTCACTGGTAGTGGCTGTATACGCCTGACCATGTGTGAACATTTTGACAGGGATAACGGACTATCCCAACTCTCACCCGTAACATGGCATTTTGGGGCTAATTTGGCACTACTGACACCAATTATTGTATAACTACTTCATTGGTGGAGAAAACGCTCACTGCTCATAATGGTTGTGCACTCAAGCCGTGTATGTATTAATCACATCTTCACAAATCGGTAGTAATTCACTATCTTTATTCACAAATCATCCGCACTATATGACTAGAACACGAGACTGAAATGTGCGTCTACATAGATTAATTTTTATGACATAAGTATTTACTATATGGTTTTACTTTGAGAAACTAGGCAATTCAGTTATCATGTATGATGAGTAGATTTCGTTACGACCAATACATGTTGTGATACATTAGTTGAGTCTTGTGAACGTACTTATCAGGATGATCTGGGTTTTTGTTAACAATTAAGTGAGCTTATGGTGTGTCTGACTGGTTGGTAAATAACTACTTAAATAATTGTCAAGTGCAAGCAGAAGCTTTTAGGCATGCTTTCTAAAAGTTAAGGATTGAGAAAAGTCTTACCTTTAGTATTCCTTTAGGACGCAGATTTGGTGCGATAAAGCAAACGAGTATTAAGAGATAAACCAGACACAAATCACTAATATGTAGTCCAACAAATCCAACTATGCACAAAAGAGATGAACTAGTTAGGAAATGTAGAGTCGCATTTCTATATCGAACTTTATGCACAAAAACAAAGAAGTTGATCAGTACATGACGCATGTGGACAAGACGTCTACAAAAACTCCAATAACACCAGTGATCCTCGTAACTTGGAGGCTTATTGAACACTCTGCGGTTTAGTTAATTATTTGATAAGTGGATCTTACCTAGACAAAACTAAGGGTCCGAAGTAGTCTATTAAGCTTAAAAGCAATCCTGAACAACCGATAACAAACAGGACAGGTGGTTCGTATACGTGAACCAACAGAAACAAAATAGTGATTGCAAATATCACAAGCAATGTTGATCGAGGATTTTTCCAACTCAGTATATTCTCAGATTTTACTATTAGACTGAACCAGTCTTCAAGATCCAACATTAAATTTTTGACTTCTGGTTCCACAACTATGTTCCTCTCGATTTCGAAGACGTCCTGTGTTCTTCTAAGAGTCTTCATTGCAGTAGAGTAGATCGGGAGATTATTATGAAGCTTGTATTATTTACAACATTTTACCTAGGAAGATATTCCAAGCACTAAAATTAGTACATGAGACAATTACATTTTCATTTATTAGTTAAACATGAAAACGCTGCTAGATTGACGATTTTTGGTTCCTTCTAGATATAAAGTCCCTTAATAGTCGTGGTAAGTTGCTAACTGGCTTTTCCAGTCTATCCATAGTTTCCGTACATAACTGGGAGTGTACAAAGTGCGGTGGCACCCTAATGCTACAATCGCTGCAAAGTGTGAGGAATGGATAACGGCCTATTAACGTATACCGTCGCATATCAGGGTCTCTATATGCTTGAGGGCACTAAGAGATGGGCTACGGTCGGTAGCTTAAAGGTTTTCTTCGTTAATCCCATTTAAAATTGGTGTAACGTGAACCAGCTTCCAATTTACTGACACTATGCTCCAGCCAAGCGAATGTGAGAATGTCACGATAAGCGATGTTGCCAAGATTGAAGTCGCTCCTCTAAGTATAGCAGAATGAACTATATTCAGGCCAGGAGAAGTGTCCTTGTTTAGATGCTACAGTTTATGATGTACCAAGTTAGCGCTCAGGTTCACTTTTGAGAGTCCTGACAAGTTATAGGTGAAGCTCTCATCGATGTTGTTAGTATGTGACGGTTGAAATGTTTGACGATACTGTTCTGTCAGAAGGTCGGCAGTGTCGCAGTCGTTGTTTGTTGGGACCTAACAATAAGGAAACACCGGTCTTGGCTTGTTGAAGGGAGGCCGCAAGACGGAAGAAATTTTTCGGATTGCAGATAAATTTGCCTAGTAACTTTATCTGATACTGAAGCTTGTCTTCTCTTATCACAATTGTGCATTGCTTCCTTGCTTGTTTGAACTGCCTATATGTGCAGTTGTCACTAGTTCGGTTATATTCCGCTCAATAGTGTCTTTCGCGTCTTAGCAATCGCAAAAAGCGATTTTTGATGAATGTAGATTGCTCTTAGCTTTTGGGGACAGTTGGCGGAACAGACTGCTTTGTATCACATAAGGTCAGGTACATTAAGAAATCTCAATGAGTGTTTACACCAAGTTGAGAGAGGACTCTCCAGTCTACTTGCTGTAGCTTGACCTGTTAAGTTGACACACCCAACGGTTTGTAGTACCGGTGCCTGTTGTTAGCTCAAATTCGCTGATAAGGTTAAAGGCTACGACGGCGTGATCGCTTCTCCGCAGGGTAGCCAGAATTGATAGGTTGTCGAATGGGAATTACTTATATTAGGTCTTACCTTATGAGGTTTAGAGGTTTTTGTGTCCCAATATCTGACTCCATTTGGATTGTAATGGATAATTGTTACCGAATTAGACATCCTGACTATTCTCGAATATAATTATCGACTTACATCGCGTTGGTGAATAACGGAATTAAATAAGTCATATATGAGAATGGATTTTTGGATACGCCTATTCTGTACGCTCTTTGATTTGAACAGTCATATGGATGGAAAGAAGAGAGCGGATCGAAATGACACACAGGAATGGAGTGTGAGTTAATTTAATTTAACCTAGCATGAATCGACATTCGTAGTCCAACAAGAATAATTCACAGACAAGTACACACACACGCTCAAATAAAAGCAATCAAGGTCGATATGTAAATAAATGACAAAGTCAAGACGTGACTCAAGTCAAATAGATAAATTGGCCTGTCCAGAAGCTAGAATAAGTTATGTGAGCTTAACATAGTGACTGACACTAAAAGACGATCGTTAAGTCGACTTAACGATTTTAGATTTTAAAGTCTTGATGCGTGCTTCTGTGAGTTCACGACTCAGTATGGGAAGCAAATTTTTGAGTGTGGACGATTAGCTGCTGCCGACTGAGCTAGTCCAAGCGACTTCGCAGGAGTCCTTTAAGAGAAAACTTGACATATTCTTAAGAACTAAGGATGGTACCTTACCACGATTTACCAATTTCTTTTCCCTCTTTTAACGTTAATATACTCAGGTTCCTGCCCAGAGGTATTAGTGATGCACTGTTAATAGACACAGAAGCCCGTTAAGCGAAATTTCGCTTAAGCTTCTTTTCCGTACACATGTGTATGGAATGGTTGCAACCATTTGAACTCATAGAATGAAGCAGAATACTTCAGATGCTAAAAGCGGTAACCCCAAATATGATTTGGCAAGTGAATAAGGTCATGTTATTTTATTTGCTTTGATTTTTTTATACCTACAATACTACAGATTATACAGAGAGAGTAGATACATTCACCCAACTGTATTTTATGGAATGCATTTAGAAGAACTAAATTGTAAATATTCAAAAACAACTCACAGACTGAGAAACACATCTACGAACGGAATTACTATTAATTACGACTGTTGCAGTTTGATTAAAGACCTTGATGTAATGAGACTTTTAAAATGTTGCACTGCTTTATACAACCTTCAAAGTTTACCGAAAATAATTGACCAGTCGTTTTTTCTGATCTAGGTACGGATTACAAGTGAAGTTTGTTAGTAGCGGAGAATTTCGTATTGAAAACAGCAACCACATTCCATCCACCACGTCCATCCTTGGAGATGTAATGGAACACTAAAGTAATGCATTTTCCATTATTGAAAAGGATGTGGGTATCCCTATTTGTGGTATTCTTGATATTTCTCGTATATAAGATTTCGCAGATATTAAGGGATGGCAATTATTGAAGCTTTTTCAGAGCAACTGGCTGCCTGGCTCTGAAATTATTTAAAGCTTTTAAGAACAGTACACGCGCGCTCTTTACGGATGGGAGGTTCAGTTCTAACGTAATTTGCATTCCTCAAACTTTTGCTGTGTCCTTACGCAACGAAAATACCATATTTTATTCAAAGAATCTATCTTGAGTCTAAACTTTGGAGATTACTCTTATTTTTGAGTTTTATTCAAGTTGGTAAATGACTGTGGTTTTGCTTCAACTCACTATTTGTTTTTTTAGTTTTTCAAGTCAAGAAATGAGAGGGAGTAGCCTTATAAATTCGATCTCGCTTGGAAGTACATTAACTGCACAACAAAGCGTTTTGCTGATATCGAGTACAACAATCGTATGCTAGAACGATTATCTTCACGGATTCACTCAGATCCTAATAATAGGAAACTTCAATCTTCATAAAATAAATTTCATTGAACATACGTACATGGGTGTGGAAAAATCAACTGAAGCTCAGTTTTTGAACCTCAATGAAGATTTGTGGTTATTCGAAAATCTCAAGTTGGCCACACGTTCGAGAAAACGTTAGGTGCCGTCGGGCTTAGACTGTATATAAACGAACAAAGAAATACCAATGAGCAAAATCTCACTCCTCGCTCCCCTGCGGAGAAGCGATCACGCCGTCGTAGCCTTTAACCTTATCAGCGAATTTGAGCTAACAACAGGCACCGGTACTACAAACCGTTGGGTGTGTCAACTTAACAGGTCAAGCTACAGCAAGTAGACTGGAGAGTCCTCTCTCAACTTGGTGTTAACACTCATTGAGATTTCTTAATGTACCTGACCTTATGTGATACAAAGCAGTCTGTTCCGCCAACTGTCCCCAAAAGCTAAGAGCAATCTACATTCATCAAGAATCGCTTTTTGCGATTGCTAAGACGCGAAAGACACTATTGGGCGGAATATAGCCGAACTAGTGACAACTACACATATAGGCAGTTCAAACAAGCAAGGAAGCAATGCACAATTGTGATAAGAGAAGACAAGCTTCAGTATCAGATAAAGTTACTAGGCAAATTTATCTGCAATCCGAAGAATTTCTTCCGTCTTGCGGCCTCCCTTCAACAAGCCAAGACCGGTGTTTCCTTATTGTTAGGTCCCAACAAACAACGAATGCGACACTGCCGACCTTCTGACAGAACAGTATCGTCAAACATTTCAACCGTCACATACTAACAACATCGATGAGAGCTTCACCTATAACTTGACAGGACTCTCAAAAGTGAACCTGAGCGCTAACTTGGTACATCATAAACTGTAGCATCTAAACAAGGACACTTCTCCTGGCCTGAATATAGTTCATTCTGCTATACTTAGAGGAGCGAATTCAATCTTGGCAACATCGCTTATCGTGACATTCTCACATTCGCTTGGCTGGAGCATAGTGTCAGTAAATTGGAAGCTGGTTCACGTTACACCAATTTTAAATGGGATTAACGAAGAAAACCTTTAAGCTACCGACCGTAGCCCATCTCTTAGTGCCCTCAAGCATATAGAGTCCCTGATATGCGACGGTATACGTTAATAGGCCGTTATCCATTCCTCACACTTTGCAGCGATTGTAGCATTAGGGTGCCACCGCACTTTGTACACTCCCAGTTATGTACGGAAACTATGGATAGACTGGAAAAGCCAGTTAGCAACTTACCACGACTATTAAGGGACTTTATATCTAGAAGGAACCAAAAATCGTCAATCTAGCAGCGTTTTCATGTTTAACTAATAAATGAAAATGTAATTGTCTCATGTACTAATTTTAGTGCTTGGAATATCTTCCTAGGTAAAATGTTGTAAATAATACAAGCTTCATAATAATCTCCCGATCTACTCTACTGCAATGAAGACTCTTAGAAGAACACAGGACGTCTTCGAAATCGAGAGGAACATAGTTGTGGAACCAGAAGTCAAAAATTTAATGTTGGATCTTGAAGACTGGTTCAGTCTAATAGTAAAATCTGAGAATATACTGAGTTGGAAAAATCCTCGATCAACATTGCTTGTGATATTTGCAATCACTATTTTGTTTCTGTTGGTTCACGTATACGAACCACCTGTCCTGTTTGTTATCGGTTGTTCAGGATTGCTTTTAAGCTTAATAGACTACTTCGGACCCTTAGTTTTGTCTAGGTAAGATCCACTTATCAAATAATTAACTAAACCGCAGAGTGTTCAATAAGCCTCCAAGTTACGAGGATCACTGGTGTTATTGGAGTTTTTGTAGACGTCTTGTCCACATGCGTCATGTACTGATCAACTTCTTTGTTTTTGTGCATAAAGTTCGATATAGAAATGCGACTCTACATTTCCTAACTAGTTCATCTCTTTTGTGCATAGTTGGATTTGTTGGACTACATATTAGTGATTTGTGTCTGGTTTATCTCTTAATACTCGTTTGCTTTATCGCACCAAATCTGCGTCCTAAAGGAATACTAAAGGTAAGACTTTTCTCAATCCTTAACTTTTAGAAAGCATGCCTAAAAGCTTCTGCTTGCACTTGACAATTATTTAAGTAGTTATTTACCAACCAGTCAGACACACCATAAGCTCACTTAATTGTTAACAAAAACCCAGATCATCCTGATAAGTACGTTCACAAGACTCAACTAATATATCACAACATTTACTCAAGAGTGACCACTCCTGCAATGCTAAGCCATGCTATCCGACCTTTCCATTTATTGGGTTCATTTCTACCGCCTTCTCTTTCTTTAGGTTTCTTTCCACGTTAATTTTTGAATCTTTATTTTCCGGTTGTTCCGTGTTCTGACTTGATTATTTTGTTTAGGAACGAATACTACTAGGCTGTCGTGGTTAAATAGCTCTACCTTTCGGTTTCGAAGGAACGTACTTCTCTGTAGCCAATATAGCTCTCTTCCCATTCAGACACATATTCTGAGAAACAAATTGTACACTAGTTCTACCCAGCGAACTTAAAGCTGAAGAACAAAGACCAATACGTCTGTGTCAGTTTTTTCTATCAGATTTCAAGGGCTTTTAAAATCTCAAATAAGCCAATCAAAAACGTGAATACGTCTTTTCTGGTGATAGGTTTATTACTCGTTGAAAAACTGGTATATCGATATTATTTCGTCCGTTTTCAACCTCTGAAATCGTTCGTTGTGTACTCTTTTTTCGTAGTATTCCATACATCCATGTCAGGTCGCCGCGTAATTGCTACCACCACAGTGCAAATGTGTGGTATTACTGAAACCACACTGTGTACAGTCAGCTAAGATTTCATGAATCTCATAGTTTTCTGACCTCTATGCTTCTCCTAGAATATTCAATCGACATTTGAAACAAAACGCATTTATGATCTGTTTAGAGAAAGAGGAATATTTATGTTATTATGTGTAATAATCACATCGCTTTTACCTCCGTAGTTTAGAAGAAGAGGGTGTACCCCAACACGAGCAGTCTTATGAATTTTCTTCACCTAACTGGCGGTATGAAAACGAAATTCTTCTATAGCATAGGCGAACATGATTAGAAAAATGTCTTGAGCAAATGCTGATATTAATTTTAAATTTTTGAAGGATAATTTCACTTGAGGTTCTTGAGATACCCTGTATGCTCGTACGTGTACGAAATCGTTGGTGCATATATTTTTAAGGCTGTATTTTTGTTAATTTTTACATCTAAAAGTGACTCCTTGTCTTACCCTTAAAACTCTAGTTGTTATTTTTGATACGCCTTATTGCGAATATCACCTTCGGTACAGTGAATGGCAACCTAAATAATTAGAATAAGAATACTATGTGCAACTGATCTTTTTCAATAGTGTATAACATGTATTTTTAGTGACCTACTGATCTGACTGCGATCCTTGAGAGCGAATGGATATACGACGGATCTGAATCTCCCATGTAACTCCGTATACTACACCTAGGTTGACCCCTTTTGTGACGATGGTAATAAGATACCAAATATGAACTCATTTGGATGAATTTAAATGTCATTACCAAGGTTTGACCTAATAATTTCAGATAAATTGAGCAAATAAACTGTGTCAAGTCTCTGTGATAAAGCGCTACTCATTATTTGCAACCGGAGAAAAATAAGCTGAAGACATGCTTTGTGGTAAGCCATACACACACGCTCAAATAAGACAGTCAAGGTTTATAAGCAAATAATTAGCAAGGTCCAATGTGGCACAAGGAGAATAAGTTATTCGCTCGGTCCGGAAGCTAGAATTGTAGAATGATGGTCTAGTTCGGAATTAGTACTTATGTTTGTTACCATTATAATAGAACTAATCTCGAAATTGTAGGTTTGTCGTTATATGACTACCCATTCTACAAAATCTTGCATGAAAGTCACATACTCGTTTGTACTAACTCATTCTGACATCAGCAATATGATGTCCAGTACTTATGATAAACACATTTGAACTGAGAAGAGATTTATATATCTAATGTGGAAAGGTATGAATTACACAAAATGACCACGCCTGCAAGGCTGAGCCATCCCATACTGATCAATTGCTACCGCATTCACCATTTTTGACTTTCTCTAATTGTTATATGTAGAATGTAGACCTTTTCATTGATTATATGCTCGTTTAGTTAGAAATCAATACCGCAGTAAAATAACCCGTCTGAGCTTGACATATTATTGAGCATCACATACCCACGCCTTGGAAAGAATTATAGGTACTCTAATGTAAAATACTGCTAATTTGTGTTCACACGACAAGTTACTGAACTACTACTGGTAAATAAACTTGATTTCATTTTACACAAAGCTGACTGTTAATCTAACTGTTAACAAATTATATAAAAGGTGGTGTTTTCCCAAATCATTTGTGCCTTTTAACTTGTGTTCAGTTTGTCATTTAGAT